GCCTATCAGTTATTCTCCGATGGATTGTAGTACAATCCGTTAAGAAACGCACCAAAAAAAACGCCCCACTTTAGAAATAGGGGGTAGGATCCGTTGAGAATTCAGTTGTACGATCCGATAAGATCTTTCTTACCAAAATAAAAAAGAAAGATATCATTAGAATCGTCTAAACGAGCTGCATAAAATAATATAGGATATATTATCGTACGAGCGGTGTAGAATAGTAAATAGTAAATGTGAACTTAAGTATAAGTATATTAGTAATATACGTAAATAGTAAAGTAAGTACGATCCGTTAAGAATTTAGTTATACGATCCGATAAAATTTTCTTTACTAAAATAAAAAAAAAGTATATTATTAAAATCGTTTAAACGAGCTGTATAAAATAGTATAGGATATATTATTGTATAAGCGGTGTAGAATAATAAATAATAAATATAAAGTTAGGTATAAGTATATTAATAATGTACGTAAATAGTATAGTAAGTAAGATCCGTTAAGAATTTATTTATACGATCCGATGAAACTTTTTTAACTAAAATAAAAAAAGAGTATATTATTGGAATCGTTTAAACGAGCTGTATAAAATAGTATAGGATGTATTGTCGTACGAGCGGTATAGAATAATAAATAATAAATATAAAGTTAGATATAAGTGTATTAGTAATATACGTAAATAGTAGGGTAAGTACGATCCGTTAAGAATTTAGTTATACGATCCGATAAGATTTTCCTTACTAAAATAAAAAAGAAAGATATTATTAGAATTGTTTAAACGAGCTGCATAGAATAGTATAGGGTGTACTGTCGTATGAGTAGCGTAGAATTATAAATAATAAATGTAAAGTTAGGTGTAAAGTTAGGTATACGTAGGTTAGTAATATACGTAAAAAGTATAATTAAGTTAAGTAGTAGAATAGTAAGTTAGTTATACGATCCGATAGGATATCTTTTATTAAAGTAAAAAATAAAAATATTATTAAAATTACTTATATAAGCTATATAGAATAGTATAGGGTGTTATTAGCTAGTAAGCCCTGATAGGCCTATAATATAGAACCTATACAGGGTTGCTGTAAAATACAGCAGTGCGTAAGCGGAAGCGGGAGGATACGACGGCAGTGCCGAAGGAAGGTAAAGCACTGTAATACAGTGAGGTATAAAGAATAAAAATTGCCTTTATTACCTTTAGCCTTGGCCTTTGGCCTTAGCCTTAAGCTTTTGCCCTTAAGGAAAGAAAGAAGATAACTATTCTACAGGAGAGAGGAGAGGTCTATATATAGGCCTTCGTAGGCCTACTGTGGGTCCTGTAGGCCCTGGAAGCCCCTATACCACTTTGGGGTATTTGGTGGGCTTAGGTGGGTCTAGTGTAGACTCACGGAAATCCATAGAACCTTCGGCAGCAGAGGTGCCCTGTAAATCACACTATTGTGGCAACTTACTACGTAAGCCTGTAGCCACTTTGGAAGGTTT